AAAAAAAAAAAAAAAAAAAAAAAAAAAAAAAAAAAAAAAAAATTGCAAATAAGGAAGGTGAACGAACACAGGCGGTGGAAAATCTTTAAATTTTCAATAATTTTAATTTGGAAAATTAATCATTTATTTTATTTTGTTTCCTTTTTAGATTAAAAAGTGTTAATATCATTTACCTTCACCTTTTTTTTTTTCTTTTTTGAATTGGTAGCCTTCCAGTGCCGATCTTCGCTTGAGTCGATTTTGAAGTTTTTTTTTATCATGTCGCGCACACATCTTCAAGAGAGGGGCCGAGTACATACACGAAGCGGTCCCGAAAATTGCCAAATCTGTTCTTTTTAGTTACAAATGTTGGAGTATATTCAAACTTTGATTTGTTCGTGGGTTGGATTACGTCAAGTTGAAATGCTATTCGAGTTGTAAATGTGTCATCCCTAGACAACACTTATTATGTTAGTTCATGAACGTCTATGTATTTATTATTAAATATTTAATTATAATTTACAACCCAATTAAAAAATATATTTTAAAAAATTAAGAAAAAATAATAAAATTAATTATAAATAAAAATATAAATTCAATGAATAAATTTTTTATTTATATGAATCTAGTCTAAACGTTCAAAGTAGGGTTAGATTGAATTAATCGAATTTATTTTTTAACGCTCTTGATTTAGAAAATAAATTATTAAAATAAAATATAGAAAGATTTTTAATTAGTCCATAAATTTAAAAGTTGTCTTTAAATTTATGAATAAAATTATTATTATTATTTTGGTTGAAAATTAATTTATAAATTTAGAAAGTAATTAGAAAGTAAATTAAAATGAAAATAAAATAATAATAATAATTGCATTGCATGTGAGGAAAGAAAATAAAAAGAAGGGAAAAAATGGGAAGCATGATGACTAATGAACAGGTAATAATTTAATTAAATAATTATTATTAAATTTTTTTTTGGAAAAAAAAATAATAATAAAAGAAATGGAAATAGAGAATGAGATTGTCAGGAAACCGTGTCCATTCCATTGGCCTGTGTGAATGCCAGCTGTTTCATTGTCAAAACATGCTTTCCACCCTCCATCCCTTTTTTTTTATTTATTTTTTATTTTTAAATAAATTATTTAATATTAAATTTGTGTCCAAGTTATTTTGTGATGGTTAAATTGTAATTTAAATACTATAATAATAATATTTTTAATCTAATAATTTATTATTTAATAATATGTAACCATTTAAGTTTTTTTTTTTAATTTTATTTTTATTTTTAATAATGATGTTCTTAATTGAATTGAGATCGATCATCTGTATTTTATTTGAACTTATGTGAATTTTTGGAAAGTAAGTTCGAGAAAGATAGTTGGCACTGCTAAATAGCATCGTAGCCTTTATCGAGAGAAAACATCCTTCACGCTCGTTTTTAGTTGAGTCTTCTTCCCATCGAGAAGTGAAAGTCAATTCATGTTACGACATTTTCGATGATTTTTTTTTGTATCGAGACTTTTTTGAATGAAATTTGTAGACTTTCTAAGTGTGTTAGAAATATTTATCCTAATGTGCGTGACAAATCTTTAAACCCGTTTTCATTAATCCATATTGATATTTGGAGGTCTTTCTAAAGGTGGTTGGTTTATAACTTTTATTAATGATCATACATGCTAACATGAACGTGTCTCGTGAGGGTAAATATGTAGCATCAACTATCTTTTAGTACTTCTATTCTAAGACGTCTGCTCGGATATTGCTCAAATTAATTCGTATGTAGGCTGTCCTCAACAAAATAAGACTGCTAATAGACATTTTCTCGAGATGACTTGTTTTCTTATGTTTACTTATCATGATCTTAAACTCCTCAAATTTACAAGTATTGAGATCATCTATCTGTTTAATCCAAAATTCACCGAGTGCATTTTTCTAAGTTATTTATCATGACAAAAGGGAAAATATATTATTCTCCAAATGCATATATATACCTTCTTTGAAAATTAGTATTTTTTTCAATTCAAGGGTAAGATCACGATATCTCATTTTTCTTTCTCCAACACGTCCAAATATTGGCTTTGATGTCAGCATCGTAAGTCAATTTATGCACAACTCTACAAAGAGTATATGGAAGCTGTATACCAAATTAAAAAATTTTCCGGGAAGAGAATAGTTCTTAGAAAAACTGATTAGAGAAATGTTGAGATTTATATCGATGCAGACCGGGCATGTGATGTTACAGATCAAATATCTACCTCATGCTATTGCTCTTCTATGGGATAATCCCATCACATGAAAGAGGAAAAAAAACTATATGCAATTGCAAGAAATAGTGTTCGGACAGAATTTAGACCTCTTGCTCGCAGAACGTGTGAAGACATGTGGATTGAGAGAGTCGTACGTGAGTTAGATGGAAAGAATTCAGTTTACCATGAAAAGACAAAACCCGTTAAAATTGATCGACACTTCATCTCGAAAAAGGCTAATAATGAAATAGTTCGACTCGGTTGAACTATTCTCACCAAATCATTGCCAATACGACATTTCTTAAATGATAGTTAATATCGAGTAATATACACATGCCATTTGTGACCGTTTCTTTGTTGAAACTTTAAAATAAAAAATTTATCGTCTTGGATTTTCTTTTTGTTCAAATTGACCGCTACTTGTTTTTGTTTGTGTTCATACCAAATGCTATACCTAATAATTTTGAAATATTGAAATAAGAATTGGTAAATTGTAAAATTAATAAATAGTCAACATTTTATTAAGTTTGATGATGTATATCCCAAAGACATCATATAGATAAAAATAAATAAATAAATAAATAAAATAAAACTATACGACAATGGTCAATTTAACATAGGGGAGTCGTCTCGTTCCTCATTACTCAGAGTTCCATGTTGTTTTATAAGGCTTTACCTGTTTCCGACATGGATACGGGACTTCTGTAAGAGAATGAGAAATTCTCATCACAAGAAAACGCGAATCACGCAAAGCCCACCCGAGTTCATTTTCTGTTGCTACTAGCTAGTCATCGGAGAAACCCAACTCGACTCCTCTTAGGAAACCAAGGTCCAACAAAGCACGTGATATCGAGGGGGCCCACAAGCACCCGATCTACTCTTTCCTTCTTTAGTAAATTCGACCTCTTGTTCACTAGTGTTGATGCAATGCGCATGTAAATAGGAAAAATCAAATCCTAGCGGAGAGTTGGTGCCTTTCTTTTACAAACTAAATTTCTAATTTCTTAACTTTACGTGAAATGCGACATCAGTTAGGGAGAAGAATGAAGTATTCTTTATAGGGATTGGAAACCTCTCTCTCTCCCCAGCAGACGACACGTTTTAAAAACCTTAGAGAAGTCTGAGAGGGAAAAGCACAAAGAGGACAATATCTGCTAGCTATGGGTTTGAACGGTTATACTTTAGCTCATAGCTCATTGAAAAAAGATTAGAAATTCGAATTTATTTTCCTCACGAGTATAATCTCTCAGTCGTCAAAGTTATATCTAACAAGTTCAAGTTTTCAAATTTTATGTCTTATAAATCTCAAACACCGAAGAGCTATTAGACACAGAATTCGAAGTTCGTAAACCTATTAAACACAACCCTACTAAACGCAACCAAACTTATATTGTAACCCTAATCATTCAAGGCTATATTCATGTCCTCTAGCATTTACTTGATCAAAATGGTAATCCAGAGGCTAAATCAACCGAGAACAAAAGAATCAAATGGACGTAATAATCTATCAAAGGCTGCTCAAAATCCATCAGAAACAGCACATGAAGAAGAACTAAAGAACATTGCTGGATTGATTGATATCAAAACAAACAGCTCTCAAGGGAAAGAGAATGAACCTCCAATATCATTTGCACCATTTGGGGGATTAATGGCTACCCAGAGAAGAGATATGGTGATGGCGATAAGTCCCGACCACACGAAAACAATGGTCGGTGTCCTCCCTCGTCTTCCCATTAGCCCTTTGGCGAAAGGGTAGAGATGAGCTAGAACCCAGAAACTGAAGAAAACACCACCTATCAACCGGCTCCACTGTGGAATTGTACTGTAGATGGTTCGACTGACTCCGACTGCGATGGCAATCAGGTTGACCATCATGATCGTGATGGGTGGAATCATGAGGGACGTCCATTTCACAATGTAGAGATCGGCGAACTCGTCGTCGACATCGTCACCAGCTGATTTCGATGTCAAAGTGAAAGAGATTTCAATCCCAGCAATGACTTTTAGCAGACCCTGTAGCACAGCAGCAAGATGAGCACTGGTGCCTCCAATCAACCAAAACTGTTCATTTCTCCACCATTCTTCTAATTCAATGCCAGACCATTTGATTTCAAGAACAGCAAGCAGGCATAGAGTGATGGTGATGACTAAAAGGTATGTCAGGAAAGTGACATTCAGAGTTTGAACAATGAACTGCCCAGAAAACAGGGATAGTGCAGGGAGAAAACAGTAGACTATTAGGAAAATGGAAGTGAACGGATAGATTCCGACGTTAAGATAGGCGATCTTTTGCAAAATTTTCATTCTTGGACTAGCCAAAAGGGCGTTATTTCTGGAGAAGAAAATCTCGACCGATCCAGTAGCCCATCGGAGGACTTGATGGAGCCTATCAGTGAGATTGATAGGAGCAGTTCCACGAAAAGCGTCACGTTTCGTTACACAGTAAATCGATTTCCATCCCCTATTATGCATTCTGTACCCAGTGACCACATCTTCTGTGACAGATCCATAAATCCACCCGACTCGTTGTCCCCATTCGGTCTTGTCTTCGTACCAACAAGAAATGACACTGATTGCCTCTGCAACGGTTGATGCGTCG